TGTGATAGCTCTTGAAAGATGGGTTGATATTCAGGAAGATGAAGCTGAAAAGGGGAGACCACAGCTGCAAGGACATTTGGGGGCCACTGCAAGTTTTTCTCAAGCAACACAAGAAATAGGAGGTCTTCTAACATTGTGAAGCATTCAGTTGGTCAAGTTGTATAATTACCTGGCCGCCTGCCCAAACCAAACCAAACCTGGGTATGCGCGCTTTTCATTCTGTTGTAAGATTTAGTCAGCCAGCAAGTGTTTGTTGTGTGTCCATTATGTACCTATGCTATGATAGGCATATGGGAAGAAAGGAAAAAAGAAAGCAGGAAGAAATGCAAATATTGTGGGAAAATTGAGTGTTTCATTGCAGGTCATTTAGTTGTGTGGTTTCATCTCAGTCACCGTGAGCTGGGCAGACAATGAAGCTATTGTATTGGCTGCCATCTCATGGCCTGTGGGGGCTGTCTGTCCTCTGTGCCCTTTGCTGAGGGTCTTGGCACTCTCCTTTACATAAAGCCTTGTGGTTGTGATCACATCTTTGATAGAAAGAGCTTTACTTCATTACCTTATTAAAGAATCATCATTGCTTCAAAAAGAACACTGCTGGTATTCTAGCAAATCAGCAACACAGAGTGTAGGCATGACCCAACATGCTGACCCAGCATGCTGAGGGGACCGGTCACCAATTTCCAGATAGTTGTCATTTCTGTGATGTCCACAAAAACTTGAGAATTCCCTATGACCCTTTTGGGGACCACAGGGACGTCAAGGAAAGGCTCCTATGAAGCAAAGGCAACAAGCAAAATGGCTGGCAAAGCTAACTTTATCAGGAACGTTAAGGGCAGGCTGATTTCAGGGCTGGGTGTTTTTTGAAAAGGCACTAATTATGATTCCTCACCTTACTCTCTCCTCTAGCACTGGCTGCTTCTCCTTTGTCCATCCAGCTACCCCAAACTCTCCCATCTGTGTTTAGGCAAAGATAAACCTCACCTTTTTGCCACATCCTCTTTCTTCCTGTTCAATGCCAGATTTTTTGAAAACGTTATCTACTTTCTGGCATCCATAAGATAACCTCTTGCTTCTATCATCATCAACCAAAAAATCGACACAGGAAAAGCCCACTCTTTATGTCTTTCTTCATTGTTTTTATGTGGTAAAATAGCACCAGAAAACCTACCTGTGATGAAAGTTGAGGGAAAGAAAAACACTTTCCTCTTTCTGCTGGTCTAATAATCAAATAAACATGGGACAGGTTAGCAAGAGAAAAATATCCAAATATAATTACATACATATGTATGAAAACACCACATACATGAGAGAGCCAAAGACAGAAAGGGAAAATTGAGGCATACGTGACATTCTAAGCTAAGAATGAGGTAAGGTACCTTGAGGCTTCAGACGGCAATTGCCAGGAGAGCACATGTTCAGCACTTATTAGTTTGCCCTGCCATACAGGTAGGTAAAAAGTGATTGCTAGTGATAACTCTTATCATGGGCCAAGTCCCTAATTTAAATTCTTCTAGATAGTTAAGGGGTGGGGGCAGAAGTTTCTCTTAAGCCCGCATGGTCTTGGTTGCCTTTAGCTCAAAATAATCTGCATACCACTAAGGCATATTGTTGGGTGGCTCATTCTGAACCCCTACAAGGTCTTAAGGTGTCACAGCCCTGTAATCTTAGGAGCATTAGGAACTAGCTTTCCCCACTGAATTGGAATTCAGAATCCAGGATGGACAGCTTGAGGATTGAAGTAGAACTTCGATAGTAATAAGTAGCAGTCATGAGATGAATGGAGAAGCTAGTTTNGGAGGCTGGCACACGCTGGCAGAGAATTAGCCAGGGGACAGCACTGGCCGACGTCACAGATGTGAAAGGGCACAGCGTGGCGATGATGCCCAATATACACGGCACTGTGAGGACCTTTACTTGAATTCAGTGAGATTTTGAGCAGAGAATGTCATGCTCTGAAAACGTTTTCAAAGGATCACTCTGGTTGATGCATCAAGTAGACTGCAAGGGAGCAGGGCAGAAACAGCTGCCAGTCATTACAATGCAGTACCGCTGGAATAACCCATTACTGCGTTAATCCTTACTCAATAATAAGAATGTCATCTTTTTAAAACTGCACTGACTTTTAGCCACTAAACAGAGGGGTACAGAATAACCTAAGAGGTTTTCTTTTATTCTTTTAACTTTACACAAGCTAACCTCCCCCAAAAAAACAAGCCTTCATAGCCAAGTAGAAACAATGGATATTAGGGACAGATGGTCTAGGAAACACGCTAATCACCTCTTACTCTAGATTTCCTGAACTCTGTATTTATGGCCATTTAGTTCACCAGGAAATTAAACACTTGAACTCATTTATTCCAAAGGCATTTATAAAACACCTCCAAAATATGTGCCGGAAAATGTGTAAGGGGCTGGAAATACAAACATGAATGAAATGCAAACTTGAGCCTCAAGAAGCTGCGGGCCGGCCGAGTGGCGCGATGGTTAAGAACTGGCTTGAGACGCCAGAGGGCCCCGGTTCGGATCCTACATATGAGGGCCAGTGAACACTGCCCTCCACAGCTAAGATGCTGAACAACAGCTCAACCTGGAGCTGGGCTGCCGCGAGTTGCCGGCGATGGCGTAGGCTGCAGCCCCTGCTGCAGTGGGTTGCCATGGGCTACCGTATGTAGCCAGCAGCCAGTGTGAGTGGCCAGCAGCCAGTGTGAGCTGCCAAGCGCCTCCATGAGCAGCCATCCAGTGGCCAGCGACCTATCTGCCTCAGGCGGGAAGAGCGCAATGATCATAATACCAACATGGGCCAGTGTAGCAGCGTCCTCCACGACTAGACTGAAGAACAAAAGGACAGCAACTTGTCTGTTCCCTTTCCCCAAGTCTCCAACACTGTTCCCCTCCCCCAATTCCCCAATAAAAATCTTAAAAAAAAAACAAAAACAACATTATCTTTTGAAATGTCAGATTCAAGGTTTGCCTGACAAATTTCCATCAGACAGTGAGGGAAGTGTCTCTTTCAGTATTCGGTTCATTGCTCATGGACTGGCTGAACTGCCCAAGAACTTGGCTCAGCTTCATTGAATGCATTGAATGCATGCCTAGGACAGGCTTTCAGTGTGGATCTTTGGTGCTTTTAGGCAAACCTGGGACAGCTTAGACTGAGCATTTAAAACTAGTACTTTGTGCAACTGTCCTATCTTTTGGTTGGCGAGACCCATCACTTTCAGTAACAGCATGAGGATCGGCTCATTCTCATCTGTGTCCAACATGGCTCTGATGACCCCAGCAATGATTTCCCTAAACCCCCACCAAGTAATTCCTAGAGGCCATCATGATGAAAGGTGGGGAGGGGAAGAAGGATATTTCAGAGGTGGTGAGGTGGGGATGGAAGTAGATGAAGGAAACCTGTGCTAATTCTTTTACTAAATGAAAATGGAAGGGTGTCCCTTCCACCTCCTTCAAAGGCTACAGAAGGGACTGTCTGCTCCACCCTGACCCATGTTAAATATTCATGGCAGGAAGGTACACAGGGGAATTGGTTTGTGGCACAGGTTGTTTAGCTTCAAGATGTACACAATTTTATGTTGTATTTGCCCAAGAACAGGTCATTACAAAGGCTTCACAGAATTATACAGCTATCTTTCTATTCAGAGCCAGGTCCCAGTCTTGCCAAGCTCAAGACAAGGTTAGCTGAAAATCCTTGTGTTTCCAGCCCTCTCCTATAATTTATTTTTCTTTCAAACAGCAAAGTTACAAGCAGTTGTTTTCTTGTGTCATCAGAGGCGTTGGTAAGGTAGAGGCACAGCTGACTGCTCGGTTCTGGCACAGGAGGTCCAAGTGGTTGCTGGCTAGTGGGGCCCTTCTTGGCTTCTTGCTTCTTCCTCTGACTTCCTCCTCTGGGCGAGGACGATGCAGCTGACCTGTATTGAAATGCTGGCTTTCCGACACAAGGTGACTTTGACAGCAGAGCTAGGGCTGGGGCAGCTCCTACACCCTTCTTTCCTCAGAACCAAAGGTGCTTGTCCTCCACATTTAATTATTCATTAACAAATATTTATTGAGCCACCACCAAGAGAGCACCGTGATTAAAAAGCATGAATTCCGGAGACTGACCGCCAGGGCTCAATGCCACTTCTGCCTCTTATGAGTCCTGTGAACTTGACAAATTATGAAATCCTTTAAGCCTCAGTTTCCTCTTCTATAAAAGAGGGATAGTAATAGTTCCTGTCTTGTAAGATTTTGTGAAGATCAGATGAGATGAGGTTTGTAAAGTGCTCAGTCCATTGTAAGAACTCACAGCTGCTTTATTAGGCAAACTCAGTTTGATAGGCTGTGAGCAGGAGACAAATTAATTTACTCCTCTACTGCCCTTTCTAATCCCACCAGGCAGGTCCTATAAGGTTCCCTGTCACTCTCAGATAATAAAAAGTCCTCTGATCAGTTTTCGTGCCAAGAGTAGTCTCTTTTCAGAAATTCAAATGTTTAGTCGGGTATAATAATCAAATCTTGGAGCTCTATTTAATTCAGAGTGTCTCTCCATCCAGCTTGCCCCAGGCCATGAGGGCTAAGTAGGAGAAGTGAGAACAGCTGCCTCCTTCCTCCCACCCGCCCTCCTAGCTTTACTTCCTCCCCACTCAGTGGCTATGATGTTGGGCTTCTCCAAGGTCAGGGGCAAAGGAGATTACATGAAAAGGCCCGGAGGTGTAGCAGGCAGAGCAGCGAGCTGACCCTGCCCCAGCCACTGCCCCTCACGTTGGCATTTGTCAGGCCTGGGTCCCATATCAGCACTCTAAGTCCCTCCCCCTATGCCTGGGGACCATGGTCAGGCTCCCTGTGTTTCCCCTGAACCCTTTCTCACTTGACTGGAGGTGAGGGGAAAGCACATGGCCCTGCTCTCCAACCACACATCGTGCAGGACGAGGGCAGAGATCCGTGGACTGGACCTTCAGATTCAATGGCTTTCTGATAATTCTGCTGTTCTCTGCTCTCTCTGCCTTTTCTTCCAGTGCCCTGGCTGCTGCTCAGCGAGATTTTCCCTGGTGGAATCAGAGGACGAGCCATGGCTTTAACTTCGAGCATGAACTGGGGCATCAACCTCCTCATCTCTCTGACGTTTTTGACCGTGACTGGTAAGGACGCATCCTGTTCCTCTAGTGCAGCGGTTCTCAACCTTCCTAATGCTGGGACCCCTTAATACAGTTCCTCGTGTTGTAGTGACCCCCGACCATAAAATTATTTTCGTTGCTACTCTATAACTGCANCTCTCTCTCTCTCTCTCTCTCTCTCTCTCCCTCTCTCCCTCCCTCCCTCCCTCCTCCCTCTCTCTCTTTCTCTCACAGAGTTAGTATTAAAACTTTTGTTAACAAGGATCAAGAACCAAACAAATGTGCTCAAATAAAGGGACATGCTGGAGGTTAAGAATAAAAGAGGACATGGGCTGTGCTAAAGGGTAAAGAATGTCACAGACAAATGTAGGTTTCTGATACCAGAAACTGGACAATGTTTCTGGAAAGAAAGTTATTTTAGGGATGCGTTAGTGATCTACTGTTAATTCATTAACTACTCATATTCATTCAAGTGATATGTATGGAGTGACTAATTTTTTAATAACCAAGGACTATGCTAAATGCTTGGGAAACAGTAATGAACAAGACAGATAATGTCCCTGTCTTCCAGGAGGTTATAGTTGAATGTACTGAGCTCTACGTCTTGTGTCTTCTTCTTTCTGTTCAACAACCAGCAGGTTTGGCTTGCTCAATCTGCGTTTATTAGTAACTGAACTTACACATGGCTGATATGACCTCTCCTCCAATAGTTCTTCCTCATCTTTCAGTCTTTTGCTACTTCTAAGTCAGATCAGTCTCTAGATATTGATTCACTGAAATTCCAGAGTGAGAGTGGGAATCCGATTGATTCTACCTTTTGCTGTGCCAAGTCATAGGTGTTTGTTGTGGTCTCATCAGCAGTGGCAAGATTGGGTCACGTGGTCCAAAACATGGATGACCAGAAGCTGGCCCTTCCTCTGGCACTCGGAGTAAGCAGGTTTCCCCATAAGGGAATTTAGAGGCCGATTTCCCCATAAGGGATTTCTCCACAGGCAGATAGAGTAAACACTACAACACCATTAGCCTCAGATCTCTCTGACTTCTTCCTGAACCCTGACCCTGCTTTTTAAGACTTAACAATGATAAATACCATTAATGAACAGTTTCCTGGAAACATTTTTCTACCATTATTTCAGGATTCAATTATCTTGGATATGTACCTGTCTTAGTTGTTTCTGGCTGCTATAACAGATTACCAAAGGCTGGGTGGTTTAGACAACAAACATTTATTTCGGACAGTCTGGAGGCTATAAAGTCCAAGGTTCTGCCTCCTGGTGTGTAGATGGCCACCTTCTTGCTGTGTCCTTCCATGGTGGGGGGAGGGGGAAAGAGAGAGAGAGAGAGAGAGAGAGAGAGAGAGAGAGAGAGAGAGAGAGAGAGNGGCTGAGGCAGGGTCAGGGGTTCACTAGAGGGGGAAGAGTTGTGGTCACCAGGTTAATGTAGATTCTGGTTTGGTGCCAGTGCTGAGCCTGAAGCTACTCAGCAAAAGTCTTAGAGCATACCTAGGCCAGTCGTTGCCTGCCTTGGGCCCACAGACTCCTAATTGTTTTCCAAGAAAAAGTGCAATGCAGGCAGGGTTGGCTTCTCATTAAAAAAGTGCATCTTGTTTTGGGGGAGTTGGGTTAGTGTGTGTATGGGAGGGCGGGGGCAGGGGGGAGTCCTAGTGGAACTCACCAGACCAATTCAGATTCAGATTTAGCCATGTAGGAGAAAGCCCAACACAGAAAAGATGGTGCCTGCCTGGTGTAAAGTATTTCTTTGAAAAGGCCAGGAGTGAAGAAAACTCAGAGAGACAGAGGGAAGGGAGAATACAAAAAATAAAAATAAATTAAAGCTACCACATCATTGCTGATGTTGGAGATGGTGGCCTATGGTGAACTATATTTTTTAAAGAACATAATTTTCCCATTTAGAGAATTTATGAGGCCAGAATTTAAACATCTGGTTGAAAGGAAATGGGCATATTCCCTTTTAAATCCACATTTTAAATAGCCCTTTGCAATGAGAGAGCTAGGTGTGCTGCATACTGCTTGCAAAGATAATAAAGGCCATAAGATTCAGCTTCACTCCTACAAAGCACTGGCTTCTTGGCAAATCAAATTGTTGAAAACCCTGCAGGCTGAGTGCAGAAGTTCCTCCAAAGATGCTAGGAGTTTTGTTAAAGGTTTCAAGATCTCTATGAGTCTTTGAAACCTGGGGCTAGCATGCCAAGTTGTTCAGGAAGAGCTCAAACCAAATGGAATGTGTGCCTGGAGAGCTGCAGGGTTTAAATCTGAAAGCACAGGGAGTGAAATGACACCCTCAGTAGGAAAAACTGTGGCAGTGGCAGAACTATGGAGGAGGGAGGAGATAAATATGGCAGCTCACATGTGGTAGGGCTTAGTCATCTTCATTGACTGCCCCGATTAAACTGAGTCTGTCTCTACTGCACACAGAGCCACTTCAATGTATTTGTCCTTCATGGTCTTTTAGGATACTCTGTGCTGCTATAAGCCCTGTCTGCCTATTTCCTCTGGATCAGGCAAGTTCTGACCAGCAGCCTGGTGATTTAATATCATGTGAAATATGACTTCCAGTATCTGTGGACAGTAACCTTCCAGCAAATTCAGAATTTCCTCAATCCCTGAAGCATAGAGAAGACCTTTTAGACGTGGGCAGATGCTGACATTTACAGAGGCACATATTGCTGAGATAGTCCTGGGGTGATGGGGTTAAAGGTAGCATAATAAAGGTCAAGGAGAACTGCTTCAGGACATGCTCAACTGCAATGGCTGCACTCACTGTAGTTCACTATGTCTCTGAATACTCTGTGGATGCCTCACAAGCAAATAGCACAAAGCATCTCCTGTGGGTCTATCATCAGAGTAGGTAGGGGATCATGAGGAGAGTCAGAGAGAGCCACCACTTCTTTACTGTGGCAAGTGACAATAATGTGATTTTCCTTGGGGGAGAAATTAGGCCATCTCATTAGAAAAAAAAATCAGTGATTTTAAGAAAACTTACACTTGTCATTATAAATATCAACATAATAAATCCTCAGGTGACGGTTTACACATCTGTGCTCCTTACGAACTAAAACAGAGCTTCTCCAGTCCTTCTGCTCTGGGCATCTGCAGCCCATTTCCAGGGCACATGGAGGCCTACAAGATTCGGGCACTGTCTTGCTCCTAAGTCGGCCATGGAAAGACTCGTACCTTTTCAGTAAGTTCTATCTTGCTGCAAGTGCCATTTTGATTGTTATTTCACTCTTTGGATCTGAATACCAGGATTTTATGTTTCTGAAATCAGTGTTAAAATAATATTCTCCTGATTTGTGACTTGATAAGCTCCATATTAGGAGGTTGAACTATCCTGGTCGAAACATCTGTCAATTGTTGCAACATCCAGTTACTTCATCTATTAGATAAACCAAAGTGTCAATTCTTGAATTCTTTCCATTTGATCAAAAAAGAAGTAGAAGC